ATAGCAATGCAGCTCAGAGAGCTGAGCTCTCTCCTGGGCTGTGGGACGTACCAAGACAATTTCTTCATCGGTTCAAAGGGATCCTACCCTGTATTTCCTCCTTCTACAATACTCCTGAAGGAGCGATATTCTAGATTTCATCTCTTAAAATGCTTCCACTTCATATAAATAATAACCAATGGCTAGAAACCAGAACCTCAGTGGTTTGGTAGTTGGGATTCTCTACCAGTAGGGACCAGTAGGAACCCCATAGGCAGGAAGGAAACAGAGGCACCATCTTTAGCATCCTGAATAAATGCTCTAACGAGGACTTGTCCAAAAGGAAGGAGCGTAACCGACACCAGAAGTCTGGTGTATCTATTGCCAAAACCAAAAGTAATCTATGGTATTCAGCAAACTCTATTTTTAGCCAGAGTATCTGCATTCCCACAAACTTTCATGGTCCTGGGGCTTTTGCCATGGAGAGGACATTATATTATTTCTCCCATTCGTTTTCTGGGGAGTCAGAAACAGAAGTCCCTCTGGTGACCAACCCCAGTGTAGTGGGATGGCTACCTAAAAAAGGAGAGAATAGGTATTACTGAGTTGTGTAGGTTCAATGGAACGTGTGAGAACTATTAAAAAAAAGTCAAGTTCTTAGCCCTAGTCATTGCTTTAGAACAGGAAGAAAGCACATCTTCCCATTTCAAAAACCAGCAAATAGAACAGCCAAAAGGATGATTTTTTTGAAATAGCAACCTTGTCATCAGGGGAGATGGGGAGAAGAGATGGGGAAAGGCCGATCTTTGCATCTTTCATGTTGGCAACACTGCTGCTTGACAATTGCCTTGACAATTGCCGACACCGGTGATGCATTGCCTGAAAGACAAATTGAGAAACCAAGGATCTGCAGACAGTCCTGATTTCCAGTGGATTTCCCACACTCCACACAGCTTCCAGGATTTGGAGGCCTTTAAGGAATGCACTCTTCTCATTCCCTGTCAGGAGTCTTGGGATGTCTACAGAACCACAAGACATACTTATCTGAGATCATCTCTTATTTGCAACCAAAGAAAAAGCACACCCCAAAATCTCACTGATGCAAATCACAGTTGAGTTTGAGTAAAAACAGTAGCAGCATCAGGACTTCGTCAGAGAGGGAAGTTCTTGTACAGCTCTGAAAGGGCTAAGTTTTATTTTTTCTTCCGTAGGAAACGCTAGGTGCAGCATTGCTTTTGTGGTTGTAGCTACAGGAAGATTTACTCCTGTTTTAGTACGCCAGAAGGCACAGAAAAGGATTAAACCTTTCAGTTTAATTGCAAGAGAATCAAAGATACCGACCACTTCTGAAATTCTAGGTTCCTGGTGTGCTAGCTAAGCAAAACAGACAGTCAAAATCTGGCCTTGGACTATCTGCTGATTTCTCATCTCATAATCTTGTTATGTTCCCTTGAATACATTAATACAAAACTTAAAAAACATATTTTCAACTACTTTTATATAGGGAATGTGCACAAATTATGAAAACAGTTTCTTTAAAAGCATGGTGCATAATATTGTTTTCCTATGACTTAAATTAAAAAAAAAAAATCCTACAAAACATTTAAGGGCAAAAATGACCCAAAGAAAGATCCGATAGCATTTCTCTTGTAAAGCTGGCACTGCTCATTCAAGTACATGAAGAGGAACATGGGCCGTTTGTTTCAGGGCTGAGTATTTATAGACCTGATGAACTGACTCCTGAGTCATGAGCTCTGCTGCCCTGTAACAAATTAACATTTGTCTTTCGGCATGAAAAAATGACGATTAATTCCAAATTGTAGAATTGACTGTAAAACTGGCAGAAGACACTTAATTTATAAAATGTATCCTGGTTTTTGGCATCTCCCCCCTTCAAAATCTCAGCCTACTAACACCTCTCAAGAATACACTGCACAGCAATATTTTAGGAGTTTTTTTGGGAAGTTGGAAGAAAACAGAGAGAACTGGTTTATAGCCGAGGACTACAGAAATGTCAGCTTTTAAAAACATGTTCCTAATTTCTAGCCTTCAGCAGACTTTATAAAGTCAAATGAGTCATGCTTCATCTTGTAGGTCTTTAAGTCTGTGACAAGCATCAAACCAACTGGGAATTAGGGAAGTCAGAATATTTGATTTTTAACCCTTTCAGATTAGGAAGCACTTAAAAGTCAGAAGCAGGCACGCAGGGATAGTAACAGATACTGCCAGCACCTCCTTAACTTATGCAAAGAATCACCCTGAGCTTTCAATACTAGACCCAAACCAAGATGAGTGTCTCCCCTTATCGCGACACCCAGAAAAGCACATGCGATGAGCGGCGAGGGGCACGGGGCAGGAGGAGAGCAGGGGCCCAGCCGCCGAGCGCGTGGGCAGCACGGCTGCGCCTGGGCCGGCGGTTGGAGGGCACGAAGCCCAGAGGAAGGTGGGAGCTGTTCCTGGTGTTCGGCCGGACAAGGGGCCCAGCTCACTCCTGGCCTCGGGCCAGGCCAACCACGCAAACCCAGTGACGTGGAGCTCAAAACACACTCTGTTTCGAGAAAGACTAAGAAAGCTCCAGATCATATCTGAGGGGTGAGCTGAACGCAGGAAGGTTTCCAGTTCTCATGGAAGAGGGCAGATAGCATAGATGTGTCTCATCCGTATGTAAGGCTAGGCTGCCTTTTTTCCTTATCGGGAAATAGGAGATGAAGAATTCAGCTTCCACAGGGATACTTGGGGGAGACAGAGACCGAGTTAAGCTTGGGATGTGCTTTGCGTTGTGGCACAGCTCGTTTAAGCAAACGAGCCCGCTCCCAGCCACTCGTTTCTCCCCTCGTGCCACCCCTTCTATTGTGCTAGCACAAGGTCTGACACAGAGCTGGAGAGGGAAGCACAGCAGGGAACTGGTCCAGCCAAAAAATAGCCCCATGGGAAATAAAAAAAAGCCCGTTGTTTGATCCAGTTCATTGTGAAGCTACACAAATACGTGCTTTTTGACAATGGGGAGGGTGGCACAAATGGGATACGAGAGCTGAAATTAGGCGGGGAGGAGGAAGGGGCTGCCAGGGCTCAAGGTGGCACTGCCTTCAGGAGCAAACTGAGGTCCTCGCCAGCAGCTCAGACACTCCTGACGGTTTAGCACTGGTGTGTTCAACTACAATAATGTAGTCAAAGTATTCACTTTTATAACAGTGAATTGTTAATATATTCTCTGGGGGCAGTACATTTTCTGTGTTCTGCTTTGAATAAAAAAATACGCTGAATTGTATTTTCTCCCTTAACTGAAAATATTAAATAGAGAAGTCCCCTAATAAAAGCAAAAATTCTTAGAATTCTGTGATACTCTAATCTACTCAAATCAAGATTTCTCCACAGACCTGTTGGCTACAAATATCGTTATACACAAATGTAAATACTCTTTGAATTAACAAGTTGCCAGTAAGCATTTAGAAGTATATAAATTTTAACATTTGAAACATCTCCTCTGAGACTGGAAAAGAAGCTCAACAGCTTTTGTGATATTTTAAAGCTCATTCCAGATCTGCATGAATTCCCTCATAACTTCCAGTAAATCCTGAAAGCTAAGAGCTAGGCTTGCTACTTATGAATTATTTTCAGGGTCGCAGCCCACACCACTGCCAAAATGTGGAAAAAAACAGAACAGAGAGAGGTCCTCCAAAAGTAAGAATAGCAAATCACTTTAAGTCAGAGCATCCAGCAAGTCTTTTTCTTTCTGGCTACGCCTTGTGCAATGCGATACACTTACACCTCCACTCTCAAAGATCCTTAAGTGCCTTTACACTCCAACAGTCCACGTAGCGCAGTAAGGAGATGCAAAGGAACTATGTTATGATGACTGAGAAGTATGAATTTGTTAGAGGAAACAGAAATCTAAATGAAGTACTTTTGCTTTCCCTTCACTGTCTTTCGAATAACAGCAAGACTTCTAGGATATCATAAAACTGCAATTGTTTTGATTTTTTTGCCAGGTCTACTTTTGTTCTGTCTCCACAGTAAGAAACTGTATCATGGTAGGAGCGCCGAAGCACCATCATTTCACTCTCCTGCAGATGTTTCCCATTCTGGGGAGAACACCCCTGTCCCCAGGCTGCCTCCACACCCACCCCTTCTCCCCGTTCACAGCAGCCACATTCCTCCCGTCACTCCAGGCCTTCTCTTCAATAGTCCCATGCTGTTCCCCTGCATGCTTTTACACACCACCATAAACACTCTCCCCCTCTGCTTGCAAGCCAGGCTGTCTTGTTTATGCCTTAGTACCTTTGATTTGTTCTCCTATGCTCCCCTTGATCACTTTTCAGGCTACTTCAGTCATTCTGGTTTTCTCTGCCTACATACAAGTAGATCCACTCTTCAGCTCCCCTGCAGTGCAATTCATGCTCTTTTTGAGCCTTAGTCTGGACATTCATACACGTACACTCCAAGGCACTGGGTTTTGTTTCCCAAGAACAGGAAAAAACATTCATTCAAGTTCAGCTGGAAAGGTTTAACAAACTTTCCTTTGAAAGGCTACTACAACACAGCTTATAATTGAAAAAGAAAGGTATTCCAAGGTGTTTATATTTATATAGTACACATAAATACCATCATTCCCAGTTCCTCTATTTAACTCCTGTAGTTGGCAGGTCTGCTTACACTAGGAAGTAACTTTTTTTGTGAGATGTTTTTGGGTCAAGTTCAGACCAATACATTGTAAACAAGGGCTCCTGACCCTGAGCAGGAGTCTCCATAAATCACCCTTAGCCCTTCACTGTATTCAGGAACGATCTCTTAGTTCACAGAGGTCACCTCCTCCTTTTCAACAAGGTCTTTAATCTAGGCTTTGCCGTGCCACTGCAGTCCCTCCAGCCCGGCGGCTGGCTGTGCTTGGTACTCAATCTGCACTCCGAGTTTGTGCTGGGGCGAGCTAATCACCCAGGCCGACGGCCCTGCCAGCCCAGCCGAGTCATTCTCACTCCGGTCTCACAGGCGTCTACAGGACGTTTTATCCACCCCTCCAGCCGCCCCCTCCACGCCACCTGCGGGACTTGCTTCCCACTGGGCAGCTCTAATCCTACCCCCCCACTCCCTCCCACTCAGGATCTCCTCTCCCACTCAGCCTTCCCGCTCTCCCAGCACCACAAGACTCTTCCGCCAACTCCCCCAGTGCCCTCCAGTCCTTCCTCACTTCCCCTGGCTGCTTTTCCCAGTCCAGCCACAGCCGATGGCGTAAGGGATAACCTGCATGTCAGAGAATTGCTGTGTGCAGTGCTATTAACCCCCCCAACTCCTCCACTACAGCACTTGACTAACATCGCTACAATGATCGTTAATAGTTAAATATTTTGTCTTTTGAAGAGTCTTACAATCACCTTAGCACTGATTCCAGTGCCAGAAAGTGTTAAAATACCCATCCCGCTTATTCTTTGAACTCTTGCACCATGAGCTTCAGCCTGGGTTGGGCTGGGGAATGTGGAATAAATCCTAAGGAGGAGGAAGCTCTGAATTAACTGAAATGCTGGAGCGCATTCATGTCCATGGTTTTTTTGGCCCCAGTGTTATTCAGGACTTGGTTGGCTTCAGCATCATACAAGAAAACATAGGAGTGAGCAGTTATGGCAAAACGCTAAGGGCCCGACCCGCACCCGAAGCAGTCAGTGCCCGGGGAGCCGGCCGCTGCTCGGGACTGAGGGCTGGTGGCGGGGTCCTTCGCCATCACTGCAGAAACGCACACGTCTACCAACCAAGAGAAATCAATGCCTCGACATAAGGCAGCTCATACTAATTTAAATAGTTATAGTGGAGCTTCTGAACTGCACTAATTTCTCTAAATAGTCTAACATTAAAGCTCGATACCCTTCGTAATCCCCAGGAAGCAACAAGGGATCAAAACACAGCTCCGAGAGCGACAAGCACATGAAAGCCCTGGACTAGACCCTCAGCTCCTGGCTCCTCAGCCCCACCACTGGTGTGCAAGGTGACAGAACAGAATATTTCAGATGGAAGGGACCTACACCAATCACCCCATCCAGCTGCCTTTACTGCTGATCTAAATGGCTCTCCTCCCTCCACGGCTCAGTGGGAACAGCACGGCAACCCACTTCGATAAAGTGAGATCCGCTGGAGAAAGTACTGCTAGGTTTTGGGGTTTAATTGTTTTCTCCACCATTACATACTAGGATCCTTTCCTCCCCCCCCTTAGAAGTCACGCACTTAACAAACGATTGCACAGCTGGCGCCGAAGAGCCAAAGCCAGTCGTTCTCTCAAAGGCCAAACTGCCTCACTGAATTGATGTCAGCTTAGTAGGATTTTTAAATTCAATTAAATTAAGAGACAAGCTACGCAGATTAGGGCTATACTAGAATCAGAAAGGAATCTTAAAAGGCATAAAATGTCTTTACATTTATTAAGCAAACTCTGCAGTCTTTTCTTATTATATTCTTGTTGAAAAACAGAACATTCAGAAAGTAGCATGAAAACAAGAAACAAAAAAACTAAGGTTGACATGAGCCGCACTCCCCCGTCCCCTCCCCGCCCCAGCAATGGGACTATCTTCACACCCGATCCCACTTTTAGCTTCCCAACGCAAGCAGCAAGGCACCATTTACAGCTAGGCTGAGAAATGCAGTCTTCAATGCACATCGCCAGTCTGCATTGCTAACAATCCACCACAGCCACTCTTCCCTTGTCCATTAGAGCAAGCAGGTTATATATACCCACGGAGGTACAGACAGAAAACGAAAAGGCCAAGGTCAGTTGTACAGTTCTGCTAGGACTTCAAGTCTGGGAAACGACCACTCTGCTGGGAACTCCTCGGTCATCCCGACAGTCATTAACTCCCTTTCCCTTTGCGCACACCGGTCCGAGTCTGCAAGGTTTAACTGAGCCTACGTGCTCTCACCCCTGGGATGCATGTTCCAACAAAGCCAAGAAGCAGAGGAGCAGGACAGCCAGCTCTGCCCTTATGGCAGAGTCAGAGAGCAAAGGATTATTTCTTGGCATTGGGTTGGTTTGGGGTTTTTTTTTTTTTTTCATTTTGAAAATTAATTTGGGGATTATGAACAATTATGCTTTTCCACGTTAATCGCTGTGATCTAAAATTTGCACATGAAGAAACAACACATGGAAATATTAAAGCACTCGTCTTACGGACATGGATCCGAGAACTGTTTAATAGCAGTCAGTGAAGGGGTAACATTGTGCTTTTAATCTACAGTTTAAAAATAATGATTTGTATATCTACTTAGTAAAACAATAAAATTAAGAACAGAAACTGATATTAGGAAACAGTGAAAATGTAATAATTAAACACATGATGCTTTTCAAAGCTATATACTTAATGAGCCTAAATAGACACCTATGGTTAGGAGGGTCTTAAAAAAAAATAATAAAAAAAAGAGACTTATTTTCAATTTTTTTTTTTTTTTTGTTTTTTTTTCAATTTTTGTCTACTATACTGTATGCCTTGCTTTGGTGTTCTCTCTGCTGCCAGCTTAACGCTTTAACAGTATGTTTACGCTTATGTTCTTTTCAAATGCTTGGCATTATAGTGAGATCTCATATCTTTCCTCAAATTAAATTTTGCTCCACATACTCCACATGTATACAGATGAACATCCATGTGCTGCTCCAGTTGCTCATTATTTGGGAATATCTGAAAGCAGACCTGGCATATAGTCTCTCCAGCTGATAAGTGAGATATCATATGCCGTACATGGTCATGTTTTCGGAAGTTTCCTTGATCACAAATGGAACAGACATACCTGGCCATGCCTTTGTGCATATCATTGTGGAGCCGCAACTGGCGCTCTCTTAAGAACTGCTTCCCACATGTCTGACAAACAAACTGTTTTTCCTTGGTATGAACGGTATAGTGTTCCCGCAAGTGGCAACGCTGATAAAATCCTTTCCCACAAAGATTGCAGAAATGCTTACGTCTGTGATCCCTCTCGTTCTCTTCCATCATGGAGTTCTTGAACAGATCTTGCTCCAGGCAGTTTGACATATGTTCAACCACTAGGTTTTCAGTTTCAAAACGCTGACCGCAATTAGGGCATCGGAAAGGACAGGCAGAATGCTTGTATAACTGTTTTTTCTGAAGGCTGTTCATTTGGAAATGACTGTCCCTGATGTCCTCTAGCATCTCTGCAAACATCATGTCCCTTATTTCTGACTGCTCCTCGGGGTTTTCTTCTAAGTCCATTTTCTCTTCAGAATTCCTGATGCCGTTCATGGTCAGATCCTGGGGCTCTCCACAGGTCTGCGCATGGTCCTGTAGCTGCTTGCCTTTGACCAGGATTTGACCACACTTGCCACAAGCACATATATTTTCTATGTGTTTGGATAAATAATGAGAGGACAAATCTTCCTCGGTGATTGTTAGCCCACAAAGTTCGCAGGGAGCGTTCTCCACATCTTCCTGCACTGAAGGAGCCTTCCTGCTAAGGTGCCGCGGACTTTTCAAACACTTTCTTTCATCCTCGTCCATGGATAAACGGGGTTTTAAAGTCTTCCGAGCGTTTCTCTTCTCTCTGATCTCTTCCTCAACGTAGTATCTGTAAAGCGGCTCCTCCTGTTCATCATCGAGGTCGTCATTGTCGGAAGACTCGTTGCAGTCTTTATCTGTCACCTTAATAATATTAAAATCCTTCAGCTCGTCTACAGGATTGTCCTCTGGTTCCATCTTGATGATAATCCTCTTCCTCTCAGAGGCTCTACTTCCTTCCTCACCTGATGTCTCGGAGGCAACCGTGCTGCTTTTTCTGCTTGTGATGTTTGACACGGGAGACGAAGAATCGTCAGCAGCTTGGCTCGAGTCCCCCTTGTATTTTTCTGTCTGTGTGGAGATTATTTTAGAAGCAGAGTCTTTTTCGTTAAAGTCTATTTTTTCAGCACTGTAGTACCGGGCGCTTTGGTAAGAATGCCTGTTGGTGCACGTTAACACGTGCTCATCCAGTAGCTTTTCACAGCTAAAACTAAACCCGCAGCTGTCGCAGGTGAAGCTTCTTCCGAAACGGCGCGAGTGGGACACGCGCTCTTTCGTGTGAGAGAACTTGGACGTGGTGCTTTTTTTGCAGACATCAAACAGTTGTTCGGGGAAGCTACTTAGCTGCAAAGCTTCTTCATCGGGCTCTTTGTTATGGGATGTATTTACTGTTGAACTTGGCGGCTCCATGCCCCACCTGTTTGCTTCGCTGCCATTTCGAGCAAGCGTGTCTTCATACATTCGCACGCCAAATATCATTTTACTATTCTGGGTGCTAGAAGCAGAAGATGAACATTTTAAACCAGACGAGTCTGTATCCTGTATATCTTCTAGACATTCAGGTACGTTATATAGCTGTAAATAGTTCATGGCCACTTTGAACTGCTCAAAATTTGCAGGGGCTGTCATAATTTTTCCTAAATACATGAACTGTAAAATAAGATCAAAGCATTCAGCGCTAATCTTCATGTTGCTTAGATTCAGCTGGGCTGTAGTGTGTTGATGGTTCATAAAAAACATCCTAAAATAGGAGCTGCACGCAGCAAGAACTGCTTTATGTGCTTGAAAATAAATATCATCGATAGCGATACAGCAGTCGCACAGAAAGCCCCACTCTCTTTGGTTGTTTAGCTGCTGAAGGACATAGTTGCTGTGGCTGGTTCTTGCCATCTTGTACTTCAATTACAGCCCTGCATAAAGAAGAAGACATCTGTTATATCATGAGCACAAAAAGCAAAACGTACTTAAACGTAGGGAGGAACTGCCATCTTTTTCTTCTCTAGATCTTCCTATCCTCACACTTTGTTTGCGGTACAGCTTCCCGGCTGGAGATCTGTGCTGGTAACTACTACGAACATCGATGCCAGTGAAAACATCCATAATTCCGTGTTCTCACCACTCAACTTACAAGACTAGTAAACTAATAAACATCACCACCACAGACGTCAATCAGAGCAATGCTGCTAGAATACAAATTAGCAAGTATACCTCCGAGTCCTACAGCCAAGATTTTCAGAGATGAATTCTGAATGCGGAACTTCAAAAAACATCACAGGGTAAACTGCTGTAAGTCGGCGCCAGGACAACACCTATACAAGGTAAGAAACCACTCTTCAGTCTCAACTTGCCTTTTTCACCTGTCGATCCAATGGGGGTGTGATGCAACGCATACTGGAAACCAGGCCAGGCTCAAACTGGTCTTTCCCTCCCCGTTAGAGGAAACTAAGAAGATGCATCAGTGGCGCATCCACACAAGCTGCATCCAGGTACTTTTTGCTCTTTGGGGGCAGCTCCGGGACAGTCTCAACCTTTTTCTGCAAGGCGCCTTGCCAAGCAGGGACTGCACACTCCAGATGCATGCTCAGGAGCAGAGAGCAGCCGGGCTGCGATGGCATGTCCCATGCACGAGCCCGCTGCAGATGGTGACCAGGCTAGCAGCGCGGCAGCCGCGCGGACTGCAGAGGGGCAGGAAGTGGTGCACGCCGTGCCTCCAACTGCGCGCAAAACCACTCGCTCAGAGCGCCGGCGTATAAAACCAAAACATGTAAACAGGAGACTGGACAAAGAAAAACTCAGCAATGGAGAACTGTGAAGGACAGCAAGCCAGAGGCAGAGCCACAGTGAAACGAAGCCTCGACAAAGACTACAGGGAAAGGTCTGTGAGCGCTGAAAGTTGCTGTAAGGGAAAGGACTAATCTGTCCTCAAGAGAAAAGAGGAAGAAAACGTAACGGTTTATGTTAACAAAAACACCCAGAAAAATGTACTGTACACAGGAGGTGTGCATTTGATTTACAGAAGAGAAACTTAACCAAGTATGGCCAGCTCCAACATCTAGTCACTACTCGGTTTGGAAAACCTTTACTGATATACATCATCTGTACTAACTGCACAGGGCGGGGGGTGAGAAACCAAAAGAAGCCTGAAGAACGCCCTGATTCAAATGAAAAACCTAAAGCAATAAATGAGCATGTTCAACATTTTGAAAAGTTATTGCAAACAATACAAATAACTAAAAGAGTTGTACAAATAAAGTACAGGCTAGCGAGCAGCATATATTGTATGAAATTTTATGACTCAATCAAATGCATAGACTGATTTGCAATCATCCTTTCAGCTGTCCAAAATTTAAACAAAATACACACAAAATGCTCCCTATTTTTTCTTAGTCCCCTGACAGCTTACATCTCCTAGAGGCTGGGAAATGGGTGGAGAAATTAAACTCCACAATTAGCATTGAATTCCCAAGTCGTAGGCGTTGCCTGGCTTGTTAAGTAGCAAACCTAACGTTAAGTCACCGTTTTTCATTCCACGAAGGATTGCCATGGAAGAAACGCGTTCAAGCTCTCAAGACGAGAACATGCTCACCGTACCCAGCCATATTCCCTACTGCCAATTCATACAGCAGTACTTATGGACCACCACCAGCACAAGACCTGGTCTGGCAGCACAAACCTCGAGTACACTGACGATAAGGATCTGAATGGCAGCTGCTCCTCTCCTCTCAAGACAACCCCCCAAACCCAAAACTCAAGGCAAGCACCCTACCATAATAATTCTCTGACCAGTTTGGCCCAGTGATGCCCACTGCAGAAATACAATTCGTTGCATGAAATGAATTTAATGGCTTTCTTACTAACTCACAGAAGGGTGGCTTAGTAGGAGAATCTCTGAAACAACTTCATGTCTTTTCTGCAGAAGACTGATTATTGTCTAAGTCACTGGCTGAGTTCAGATGTTTCTGTGCAAACCAGCAAAGCTCTCAACATCAAGTAATAATAAAAGGGCACTTCACATTCTTCCAAGTGCTAAGACGTTTGGATTTGAGGTAATTCATAGAATCATAGAATCGTCTAGATACCTAGAATTCATTAGATACCTAAACATAATTCAGGATACTGCATCAAGTATTAAGAACAGCAGCTGCATAATGACAAAGAATTGATGTCAACTTCCACATAAGAGTGAAAACCAACAAGAAAGTGAGAAGAAGCAGTCTAAGGCACCACTGGCCTCTTGGTGTGAGCTGCCATCAAGACGAGAAAAGGCTGAGGACAGCGGGTTTTAATCTCATCCTCATAAAGTGGCAAGTTGGGGGTTTTTTCAATTGAAGTTTTTTGGGGTTTTTTTTTGTACGCTAAAAGTACTCCATTGTATCTTCCAGTAGCAGCAGAGCGGGACAAGCAGCCAGAAAGCCAGTACCAAAAAAGAAGGTAGCAAACCATCTGCAAACGCCTGCAGACCAGGGCATTCCCATGCGGTGGGAACGATCTGGCAGGCGCTGGAGTGACAGCACACGAACTCATAGCTTCTAAGTTTCCTTCTTCTTTGAAAAAGGTGAAATATATTTCCCCTTTTGACAGGGGAACTCTTGCAGAGCTTTCAGCACTGTCCTGATACACAGCAATGACCCACTGGCAATTCCTACCTCCTACCACCGCTCTGGAAAGAAAACCCAGCCCGAGCATGAGGTCACCAACCAGGATGACAAGGTGCTCAGATATGTACCCGGCCTCTATTGCGGTAGTACTACACGTAGGTATTAAAATAGAGAGTGCTTGAAGTTATTTATGTTAATGAAAGTACTGGCATCCTCCCTCTGGATGCTGTATTAACCTGCTGTATGTAACTATATATTTACAGCTGCCAACACTTCCCACTACGAGAGCCTGCGTTGGGCTATTTAAAACTTTGACACATTTCAATCAGCAAAGGCAAAACTTTCCTTCTGAATCGTCTGCTTTGGACTGGAGTTTGGTTTTTTTTCCCCTCCAGGAAAAATTTCACCCAAAATGGTTCCAAAAATGAGGCTAAGAAAAAGCTTTCATATATGTAGATTATTACTTTTTCTTTTATAGATAAAAAAAGTTTCTCTTCCAAAACCTTCAAAGAGAGACTTCACATGGGAAAAAGTGCTATGTCTTGGGTATGTTGTCACAATATAAAAATCTGCCTGAATTTGGCCAAGCTATAAGCTTGAGGAGAAGATAAAAATTATCAGTGTGTTCACGCTTAAGACTTCTATTACTAAAATCTCAGGTTACAGCCCCACTGAGAACACTTCATCATCCTCCTGCAGCTCCATTGCACCGGGGGGCCTGCCTGCACCGTCCCACCTGGGGTGAAACCCCCCTTTCGCGCAGAGCTCTGCCATGGTTTTCAACCATAAGAGGGTAGATTTAGACTGGATATAAGGAAGAAAACGTTTTACGATGAGGGTGGTGAAACACTGGCCCAGGTTGCCCAGAGACGTGGTAGATACACCATCCCTGGAAACATTCAAGGTCAGGTTGGACGGGGCTCTGAGCAACCTGATCTGGTTGAAGATGTCCCTGCTGGCTGCAAGGGGTGCTGGACTGGGTGACCTCTAAAGGTTCTGTCCAACTCAACCTATTCTATGGTTCTTTGATTCTATGTGCCACCTCCACAAAGTCACAAACTGGTGGCAGGGCTTGCCGGAGATTGCTCCGCACCACGACTTGCTACTGGTTTTTAGCATCCCTCCTGGCAGCTGGATGAAAAAGTGCCCGGTTCTGGCTGAGGAGAGTCAGACCCAGGAGCGGGCTTAGGGAAAACACAGGGAGACTGGGAACTGTAAGGGAGGGAAAAACTCTGGAAATTGGGAGGGAAGAGATAGGCAGGCTGGGAGTGGAGTGCTGAGCTGAGAGGGGACTGGGATTAGGAAGCAACAATGGGAATTAAAAATGGGTGCAGTGAGGGTCTAAATGACGGAGGGAAGGTGCTTCGGCAAGGGGCTGGGAAGAGCCAAGTGGTAGGTACTAGGGCAGAAGGGGTAAAAAAAAATAGACATGCTTTTGCTGGGGAATGCGTGGAAAAAAATTATAGCATTCACCCCATCAGAGCTGGAACTGAGCCCCAAATTCCCAATTCTGCCATCCCTTTGCCATCAGCAAATATCACGGGCTTGCTGACAACTCCTTCCCATCAAGAGCAAACTCTCAGAAAATGATCATTTACCATTACTTTGTTAATTTATTTGCTAAAATGGCAGAGATCTGCATTTATCACCCATGTGGGTGGTTCAATGCTGCGAACTATTTTTGAAGTTTGCTTTGGAAAAAAAGCAGGCTTTAGAATAAAAACAGGTCCTTTCTACAGAAATCCCAAGGTTTCAAAGTTAGAATCATAGAATCATTAGGGTTGGAAAAGACCTCCAAGATCATCAAGCCCAACCACCAACCCAACACCACCATGCCTACTAAACCACGTCCCAAAGTGCCACATCTACACGTTTTTTGAACACCTCCAGGGATGGTGGCTCCACCACCTCTCTGGGCAGCCTGTTCCAATGCTTGACCACTCTTTCAGTAAAGAAATTTTTCCTAAGATCCAACCAAAACCTCCTCTGATGCAACTTGAGGCCATCTCCTCTCATCCTATCACTTGTTACTTGGGAGAAGAAACCAACACCCACCTCACTACACCCTCCTGTCAGGCAGTTGTAGAGAACAAGTTAAGCGTATACACAAGAAATGCCATAATTAATGCAGGATTAATTCAGTTGCCATTTACGTATATATTGTAGTACAGTCTTCCAGCCCTCCTCTTACCAAAGGCTCCTCTCCTTACCCAGCACATGCTCTGGATGGATCTGAACAGCAAGAACAAGATCCCTGCTCATTCGGCGCGGCATTTGGAGGATGTGAAGGGAATGAGACCGGGGAACAAAAAGGAGAATCTCACAGCAACGAACACTGCCTTGGAGAACAGCATCCCATTGCCATCACCATCAGCAGCAACTGAGGTCAATGGGAGCTATCCTCTGTACAAATTAATCACTGAGTACCTTGGAAAATTAAAGCTCTATGCAGGCAAGTTTGTCAATCAAAAATTTTTTAAATATTTCTGATCCTCTCTGACTCTTTTCTATTTCAAAAAGAGGAGAAATGCCAGCCACTTGCCCGACGGACTAGCGCACCGCCTTTGTGAAGCGCCCAAATACTGTAGTCACAAACATCACGGGGAAGTCCACGACGAACGCAAGTAACTCCATCTTCAGCAATGATCGACTCGTGCAGTAAACACGGCAACGGGCCATGCCGTAAGCAATACTGAACGATGCAGAGGTGTTCTGCAAAAATATGCTAGAAAAGCATCTGATACGAGAACGAAAAGTGAAGATACTCGAGTCAGGTAAATTCACTCTGATTTGCAAACTCCACGTCTCCATACGCGTTTTATTTTCCTAGTAAATGTTTGGGTTTACATTGCCATGCTTTGATCCGAGCTGTTTGTCTGCAACGAGATTTTTTCTTTTGAGTCACCACTCAGGTACTATTACTATGCCGATGTTGCCACGAACAAGGTAAGTTGCACTACTACGCTAAGCAAATGCATTGCTTGTAAGTCTGCTAACAAGAAAGAACAGGTATTTACTACAGCTCCGTCTTTTCTGTCATTGCCTCATGTTTAAAATTTTCTGAGATGTTTTAAAACTAAAGAAGCAAAAAAAGTCCTCAAGCAAAGAACTGGTAAAGTTCTTTTGCTAACTTCTCTGTCTTTAAAAAAGACATACCACAAGGTTCAGAATTTAGGAGCCTTTCGGCTCCTAAAATTAGTAGGTGGTTTTCAAAACCCAGCATTTCCACTGCTGAGCAGGCAAAAAGAGCGCTTACATGCTTAGTTACTGGCTGCTTTTCTTTGGAAACCAAGAGCAGGCTGGACAAAAGTATAATAAATGAGTGGAGAATTTGGTGCTAATAGAAAACGAGACTGGAAAACCACAAGAAAACAACGCCCAGTTATCCCAAGAAACAAGCGCGTGGGCAGCAGAAAGCAAATTCCCCATCGCAGTCTGACACCATATCCCACCCTGGCGTGGGTTCCCAAGAACTCTCCTCCCTAAAGAGTTATTTTGTCTCTGTGGGTCAGATCCACCAAAGAATCTGGATTCCTAAATGACAGCATCTAGATGCTCAGGAGAAAATCCTACTTGACACATCTAAATTCTCCGCGTGATGCCTGAGAAGCTTAGGCATTCGGCTAGGGCATTGACCACAGAGCTGTCGACAGGCTACAACTTTTTATCTAGACATACTCAAGAGGAAGCCACCGAGATTGCTCCAGTACTGCAGAGTCCAAGAAAGCGCCTCGGTTCACACAAATATTGCAAAAACAGCAAAGAACTTGGGGCCAGGTAACCACCACCCACCTCAACAGCAGGTACGGGTAAGATACAGTTTGCACTGCAAGCGTAGCCTTGATCATGAATTAAAACAACTATGGGAATTCCATGTACTGCCAGGGAAAACCTAATTAAGGTCCATTATTCGGGCTACGAAGGACTGAAGGTATAATTTATCCGCCTCCCAAAGCCCTTCCAATCCGCTGCCTTCAGGCGTGCTAGTTGTGAAGCCACTTCCAATGATGTAGATACTCATCTTCAGACACATCCTGATGGCTGAATCAACTCATTTTAAACAGACCCACGGCCAACATAGAGAAACAAGTTTTAGCTGACACCTGGGCTAGATCCGAACCAGGGAAAGGTAAGGAGCTCCAAAGCCCCCAACCACAAGCTGTCGGAGCCGCTCGATCCCTCCTCAGCATCCATGTCCGCGAATGAGAAACAACCATCAACGTTTAGCAAGTTACGGTTCTCAGCCCCTCAGAATTAGTTAAGGTGTGCATGGGTAAGAAACACTCCTCCAAAGACAAGGAATAAGGTGTCAGAAAAGCGTGAGTGACTAAAATTAAGAACACGGAGTTTGCACTAAGGCCCCGTCTTAACTTCAAACAACTTTAGATCAGATCTACACAGTAAAAGTACTAGAGAGAGCTTATGCAGTCTTTTAAAGTAACTTGCTAGCCACAGAGGATTACTCTAGAAAGTCACAGTTATCTTTTATCTGACAGCTTTACAGTTGTAAGAAGTTGTCAGGCAGCACGGTAATGATATGTCTAAAAGAAACAATTAGTGGGGAAAAAATTATGATACCCCGTTTACACCTTGCAGCAGAAAGATGAGCCTTTTTATCTAGGCTCTCCGAGTTACCCTAGCGTTCAGCTTCAAGAGGCGTCTTGGTGGTTTAGCCATCTCCTAGAGACCCTCAAATGAAGACACGTGTGTCTTCCAGGAAAGCATCCTCGGCTAAACACGAGTCGTACCTTGGCGTAACAACTTGCTGGACGCACAGGACTGAAGCGCAGTAACTGGACACACAGGTCAGACTGCAGATTTTGCTGACTCTTTCTGGTTTTAAATGCTTCACATTTTACTTGCTGCACGTAAAATAAAAATAAAGCTGCTAAGGTCTCCATCCAATAAAACAGGTTTAAAACAGGGGAAAAAAAAGGCAACAGCCAGCTAATTCTAGAGAGTTTTGCAATGGCACAACATGCACAAAGAAAAACTTACCAGACAAATGTGAGGATATAAATGGTCTTCATGCAAATTATGTCAGCTGTTGGGCCCACACACTGTGTCTGCAGCGGAACCCTTTGGGTGACGGTGTTGACCCTGCCCAAGCAGAGGCAGGGCAGGATAACCCAAATGCTGGGGAACCACCGGCCAAACTGAAAAAAAGCACATGGGGTTTCTCACGCTACGTGCGTGTGAGGTCCGGAAGGACTCTAGCGAGAGGTCCAGCTGTAATAACTAAGAGAAAGGGCACTGGGATTCTTATCAGGAAACTTTCATTATCTCAATTCTGAGCAGCTATTTTGTTTCCATACAGCAGGTAAGTAACTCCTAAGGCTTTGTCCATCCTGGACTTTCAGGGCTCTCCACTGTCAGCAACAATGGAAATCTGTGAAAGAAGCAATTAACCTCACCCGCTCAAGCAAGAAAGCATCTACAAACCCAAATCGCTGGTTGATACCAGCGCTCTCAACGTCATTGCTGCAAATTCCTCTGCCAGTGACAACACGGCACGAAGCCTCAGCAAAGCAGAGCTGAAGCATCTGTTAAGCCTGTGATCTTATTCCACGCAAAACTTTCCGGCTACCAGGAAGAAGGGGCTTCTGTTACTTCTCCAAGCTTCCTACGCAGCACCAACCCACGTCTTCATTACCTCCATCCTCCCGCAGCCACCCCTCATCCACTCCAGCCCCCGACCCGGCGCCTGCTGGCTCCCTGCTACCTCTAACAGCGGCGGAGTGCAACTAATACGACTCGTTACTCCTCAGGTTTTCTGGCCAGTCATCCAAAAATCTTTCCACAATCTTGTCAACTCGCTACGCTGCTGCCTAGGAAAATCTCTGCCAGCGCTGCAACCATTCGCGTTTGGCCGGTTTTCCCCACGGCCATATGGTCTCGACGCCTCTCCCCCGCTCGCCATGAAAGCTTAAGTTGTAATTCGGTAAAAACGAGAAGCCCGCATCCCCCCTGCTCACGGCTGCTGTGTGGGTTTTTCCAAGAGCTGTAATGAGGAATGTTAAACAAACACCTTTAATTAAAGGAATGTTTGTTTAATGTAATTAAATGCCGAAGGAACACCACACTGTTGCAGCCCTGGAGAGTTCTGCAGTATGTGCTGTACCTTGCACTACTCTAGTGCAAGGGAAATAATGCAAGCAAATGACATAATCTGGCAGTAAATACCCCAATATTAAACAGCATCCAAGCCATGCTATCCGTTCACCAATGCCTACGTGTCAGGAGGAACCGGCACTCGTCTGTCGGCCCACAAACAGGCCAAACTTGAGAATCTGAGTTACAAAAAAATCCTCAAAGAACAGAAAGGAGTAAAACCCCAGCCCCAAACCCACAGCGTTTCCAGTCCCCTTTCCTCCACTCTTTTTACTACCTTTCTATCCGAGAAGAAAAGAGGAGTCCTTTGAGGAACGAGACTTTCGACACCGCTCCCGGAGCAACACAGGGCTTGTTTTTATGTGACAAAACTATTCCCCGTCCTTTCCAGCCGCCTCCGAGGCGATCCTGTGCACTGCCAGCCCCGAGTGAAACCCAAGTCCCCCGCCTGGCAGGGTGGAGCATTCCCTCCAGGCTGCAGCTCGGTTTTTCGCTAAACTACTGCAACTCGCTCGAAGTTTTGAGGTTTGATTTAAAAAAGCAACACAGGGCTTGTTTTTATGTGACAAAACTATTCCCCGTCCTTTCCAGCCGCCTCCGAGGCGATCCTGTGCACTGCCAGCCCCGAGTGAAACCCAAGTCCCCCGCCTGGCAGGGTGGAGCATTCCCTCCAGGCTGCAGCTCGGTTTTTCGCTAAACTACTGCAACTCGCTCGAAGTTTTGAGGTTTGATTTAAAAAAAA